AAAAGGAAATCTTCCAGAGCTGTCGATCATTTGGGATTTGTATAGCAAACACAAAGTTGAGATGTATCTTACAACACAGAGTAAAAATCGTATCTACAGTTCTTATGCAGTTTTTCTTACAAGAAAACATCACAGAAGGGCATATAAAGGCTAAAAACTTGCAACAGGCCCACGGCTGGCAGACCTCTGCTATCTACAACCTGCAAAAACAGGAAAATGAGATAAAATATAAGATGCAGCAAATTTAAAATATGGGGATAACTAACGAAAACTATCATATGTACCTTAGTTACAAGTTCTAACAAAAACTATCCTTGTATTTGTCCTCATATTTTCAACTCTCTAGAAACAGAATGAACTGAACAAGGCTGCAATTGAATATATATCCAAAGTCCAAACCCATTTATTCATCTCAAATTGCAGTTTTTTCGAACTATAACATTTTACCTACCCAATTTCAGATGTTACGAATCACGATCATGTTTATTCGAATTGAGTTGTTTTCGAAATCACAAAACAAACCAGAGTTTTTTTTATCACAGAGCTTACGTAAACATCTGAGGCCGGCTACGAGCGAGCTGAGGACGCTTTATCGGGGAAAGAATGAGATTTCTGAGAGTCATCGAAGGATTTCCTGTTGCGGGCCCATGTCTGGTGCCAAAAGGAGCTTGACCACCACCACCATGCATCCTGTTGTTACCTGTCTCAGTCGGCATGGCCGGCTGTCTTGCCGGTGAGCCACCAGAAATGTCGAATGTCGAATTTGAGCTGTTGTGTCTCGCCGACCACATGTCGTCCCTTGGCCCTGGAGTGTCAGGAGTGAGAATCGACCAATCTGCGATAAAATAAGTACACCAGTATATTTTGGAAGAATAAAACGAGAATTAAAACGGTTTACATTGATCGCATAAATATCCCGGTATTTTTAAATTTACAATTGTCAATTTAAGTTCCGAGGCATTTTCGTGAATCATCAGTGAATGATAACTGAAAGTTGTTGTTCTTGTTGTTTGTGATTTTTTTTCTTTTTTTTGGTATGCGAGTGGAAAACCTGAAGGGCATTAGTACCAATTTTTTGAATTTATTTTATCCCTAAAAGGAGTAGTCTACATGAATGCCAGACTATGGTTAGCTGGAAAATGGTTTTGAACAGGATGTGATTACCTTTCCTGATGGTATCTCTGTTGTCCAGCCTAGCAGCTGAGTTTGTGAACAAATCAGGCTCTGGTCTTTGGAAAAAATGGTGCGCAGGCTGAATTGCTGTGCGTTTCATTGACTCGATCTCATTTCTTGCTTGATCATACATCTCGTCGAGTTTTCTCTTTTGCCTGGCAGAGATAACAAGGTCTTTAATGACTATTGTTGTGGATACAGTGAAATAAATGGAGTGATGATGGAGTCACCTGCATTTCTCCGAAAACTTCTCCTGCAACTCTTGTTTATCTTTTGTCAGATTCTCCAACTCTTGCTCCATCATCTGACACCTCTTGGTCATTTTCTGATATGCGGTGTAAATCTGCTCCATTTTCTCGGTGAATTTCTCTTGCATGGCCTCGCATTTCTGACGGCACTGACCAACTACCTTATTCATCTTGACTTGCATCTCTAAGTCCTTTTGCCCCATATAGAACATTACACTCTTGTATGCACTCTTCATCACTAAAATCGTTCAGGAAAATGAAAATACACAGTTTGAAAATTTTAATTTGTACGATCAAGCCTTTTACTGAATGTTAACATGTGAGGCCAGATAAACAATAAATCATTGAACAGTGCATATGATGCAATATTGAGGATACGTATCTGAGGAGATACTCCAGCCATGGCCATCTGCAAGGGAGGGCATCATAGTATATAAAATGAGGGTGATGCAGTGTATCCAAAAATCTGAATCAGGTTTTTTTCAGTGAGATTTCTTACATTTACCCATTCATCATTTGGATTGATATCCACAGGCTTCATTAGACTGACGAGCAAAAAGATTTACATGTCAACCAAGTGAAACCATATATGTGCACAGGCAATTTAATTGATCAACAAATCGACCATATACTAATAAAGGGACGTAAGACCAACTTTTAACTTTCATCCTAGCGTATGAATAGATACTCTTGATTTCTGCAAAGCAGATACAGTATAATTTCCAGTAGAAACAGATCCTTCCTCAGCTCGTAAATTCTAATAATTCAAAGGTTCTTTTTAATTTACTTGCAGGAGATGCATGAAACAAACAAGTTCGAATTCACACCTTTTGGAGAGCACTTGATCACAGATGGGGCAAGCACCGTCATTACTGAGAATCTTGCTTGCATCTTCTGTGCCTTTAAAAATAATGAAGGAAATCTAACAAAAAAATTATGAAAGCAAGAATTTGGGAAAAGAATTCCGAATTTCTCTAATGACAGTTGGATACACAAGAGATGACCACAGGTAGTAGTGACAGCCCGTCCTTCCAATTCTCGCCAGCAGGCATTGCATCTCATCTCGGCTTTCTCAATAACACTTCACATGCACTTAGCAGTTTATTGCAAACCTAAAAGTTGTGACCAGAACTAGAAAAAATAATTTTCAGAAGTTGTGATCTTCCACTATGTAAACTAGAAACTAGAGCTTCCAACCAAGTAACACTATGAAACACAGCTACAAATCAACCCACTGATCAAGTGCATTTTGTCAATGTCAATTCCTGATAGACCCGGTGCTTTCCTCCATAAAATGACTAATTAAAAGGTTGATCTACAGTTCTACACATATAAATCAGAGAAAAACAGCATATCACTCAATACTTCACCAAAAACTGTTACATGTTCCAATATATCAATTTCATTTGTACTCGGTTATCTTAACCCATACAACAGATATTATGACTTAGGTCGACAAAGGACCTATATCAGCCTTAGATAATTGAAACCAGAAATCAACCATAGTGTTGCCTTCTTACAGTCATTTTATTGAGTTGAGGTTTGCAGAGGAACAATGATTTCTAGTAACATAGAAGTCCAATAGGATGAAATTGCGAATGCCACCAACATATGCAGAACAAATGTTAGTAGACATTAAATGGCACTACTTTAAGAAATAACAACAAATTCCCTGATCACCACAGAAAGCATCAATCAGCAGCTACTTTTAGCTAAGCCAACTCGAAATTTACGTCTATTCATAAAATGATCCGATGACGAAAAGGAATCAAACATTGAACCAGTCGTAAGAATTCATCTAACAAAAACTTAACTCCGAACTCTGCATTCTAGACGCTCAGTCCGAGCCTCCCCTTTCAGATAAACCAACAAAACTACGATTAACATATTAACAATTATTCCAAAAGTTTCAGATAATCAATCATGAGAAACGCTAAAATTTCGGTTATACCTAACAATCGGCAGCTTCCCGCAGAAAACCTCAATTCTGACCGAATACCGGCGAAACTCAAAACCGCTACCGAACGCTGCAACTGGCCGGCAAACTCGGGGATTCAGACGAAATGCGGCAGTCGAAGCTCTGGCTATGGAGTCGGATCAACTTCTAGATAGGTCGCCGATAATGTTTGAACTGATTTGTATAATACAAAACCCTACCTTCCAATTTCTGGTGTTGAAATTTAGAATTTGCGGAGAAATTGGGAAAGTTGAAACACGCTCTAGCGGGAAAATGCGGGTTGTTGATGGCTTTTATAGTTGTACTTGGATTCTCGGAGCTCCGAAGCCCGACCCATTACATATTGGGTTCAAATAGATTTGACCGAACGAGTTGCGCTGCTCATTAGCCTCATTTAAAGCTAGTCAAAATGTGAGTGTTGATTATGTTAGAAGAAAATAAATGAATTGATCTCCTAATTAACTATAGCTAGTAGACAAGTTTGTTTACTTAATAAGTAATAATTTTATTATTCTTAAGTTAAGACATTGACTATATGGGCAGGGGCGTAGCCAAAAATATTTTCGACATTGGGCTGTTAGTCGAATTGTTAAGGAGTACAACTCAGTTCAGCACGTAAAAAAGTTAATCTCAACTCAGTCATATAATAAAACATAAAATTGAAATTTAATTAAAATGAGCGGAGCTTAATTGATTACACTGGATTTATTAACAGATCTGAACCAAACATGCTCATTTATTAAACGAACACAAGTTTGAACATGTCATATTCGACTCAATTTGGCTTCAATAATATCACTATTGTTATGTTTAAAAATTCGAAGTATGATATTTCTTAAGTGTTTAATGTAAATTACAAAACAAATAAAAAATAAATTGTTAAAAATATACTACTCGAGAGGATGTCAGGAAAGAGGATGATGAGATATTGAGATGTCATGTTGTTGTAGCAAATTAAAAATACGTTATGTTATTTTTCTAGGCGTATTTATACGGAGGTCGATAGCATTTAACAAAAAAATGTACATTTTTTGGTGGTATAGTAATTTTTTATTAAAAAAAATAGCACTGCCGCGTAATTTCTTCTTGTCTATTAAACTTAAAGCTGACTTAAAAAATTAATATAATTTATTTTAAATACTACTATGAGATGGACATTTTGTTAGGCATGTCATCCAACATATACTTGTTATATGATATTTCACTTATAAGTTGTAAAATTCTAATATTGTTTCATTGAATATGCTACCCAAATTAATGAAATTAAATTATATATGTCACATATTCAAATATCATTTATTTAAAAGTTAACAAGTAATTAATATATTTCACATATAAAGTAATGTAAATAATATAAATTAATAGTGTCTTAAATCAAACATTAAAAAGCGAAAACAAAGAAGAAAAATTGACATAGTAAGCTATATATAACCACAAAAAATACATATGAAAAATTTGATTCATCTCCAAAAATATGTATAATTTGTTGGTTCAATATAAATAAGTTTAAATTAATATGAACTAAATAATTCTATCATGAATTAAACTCATAAAACATGGGCTAAATTATCTTTTTTACTACTACATATTTAGACAAAGCAAAAATTTAATTGGGCAGGAGCCCGGGTGAACCCAACCCTGTCTACGCCTCCGCTCGAAAAACTTGGCTTCATATAAAGAGGGATTTTACTTGGCAATTCACATAGAGTGGTAAGAGAGAAGCAATTTTGGTTCAATAAATTTGCATATTTTTTGTCAGGAGGGTTTTATTTAAAATTATACAACTTTTGCAAATACATGATTTGATATTTCATTTAACTAACATGCCAGCAACCATAAAGATGTGCAACATTGAATAAATCAAAATGGTCTATATGTCACATTAATAAAAAGTTGGTATCTTGCTAGCTATAACTAAACCATTTTGCTAGTGGGTCATAATCTACAATATGATAATTAAATATTTGTTTTTTTTATATTGGTAATATATTTTTAAATTTAAATATTTATTTTTAAAATTGATAATATATTTTCAAATTGAAATAAATACTCTAAAAAACAAAATAAGTGTTAAATAATCATCAATAGATGACATGCTTTCAATTTTTTTTTTTTTTCCAAACGATAGAACTTCTCATATAATTAAACTAACAAGAACAAAGAACAAAGTACAAAGTTAACCAACTACAAATGACCTAACCGGGCAACACCCGAATAAACAAAATACCAAACTAAAACTAACTGAAACCCGAGGGCCGAAGCCAGAGAGAACCACTTCAATACATAAGTGGCCTAGAAAACAACTGAGTAAAAATACAGAAGCTAGCGCAGTGGAATAAACACTGAAGCCGCTAGCTATCTCAATGTCTAAAACAATCACACCAGACATAGAAAGAAAGAAAGAACCTGACACTAGAAACTGTACTGCATAAGCAGACCTAACCAGTAAACATGTTGATTCTCCTTGAACTTGCTCGCATTTCTACTTCCTCCCTCCATGCTCGACAGGCTGCTTGAACTGTAAGATGTTCTGGTCTCCAGGTGTTTTCGAATTGCCACAAATTCCTCGATTTCTGAAGCCACCATAGGATATAAATTATCAATTAAAATGTCACTTAAGAACACAATTTATAGCATAAGAGTGCATTTTTCTATAATAGTATGATGCTTCGATATGTCTAATAAATAGACTAACTCATATAAGATTCACGGTATCAAACCAAAGTGTATTTATTGTAGGAAACGTGTCAATACACTATATACACTATTTGTGAATAAGTGTTGATGGCTCCATAAGTCATATCATCCGATGGCTCCATAGCAAAACTGATAAAATTGGGTTGTATTTCAGATAATTCCATGCAAGAACTAATGTATTAGAGAAAATCATTTAATATNAATATATATATATATATATATATATATATATATATATTTGGTAGATTTAGCAAAGTGCTAATAAAATCAGATAATTTCATGTAAGAACCAAAGTATGAGAGAAAACCATTTAATATATATTTGGTAGATTTAGCAAAGTTCTAAAAAAATTGAGGTGTATTCATTTGGGAATTTTAAAAACTTTTTTAACACTTCAGAAATCCTTGTGTATTTAATTTAGACTTTTTAACACTTTTAAAAGTCCTGAAAAGGCTTACAAAAATCTTGAGGTATTTAATTTATTTGAGATTAGAATTTGTTAAGACTTAGTAAGATTTGCTGGGATTTCTAAAGAAAAAAAATGTATACGAAATCCCATTTAAAATTTCACCTTCACACTTAAAATTTCACATGATTCCTATAAAATTTGAAAATCTTAAAAATTCTCAAATCTCAAAAAGTCTTCAAAGGTAGAACTCATAATTTTAGTTGATAGGTTGGTCAAGAGCTCGTAATCAATCATGCAATAATCTAATTCAATTTATTATTATTATTAAAATATATATAAAGAGAAAAACTATTTACCAAAAATAGTAGCCATAAAAATTTAGTAATAATTAATTAACATTATGCAAAAAATCTCAGCAAATTTTCAAAATCCGCATAAATCTCGACAATTTAAAAATCTCATCTCTTAGCGTAACAGATGTTGAATAAATGTCGGCAAGCTTACAAAGTGCATAAACTGCATAAATCTCGACAAAAATTCACTTGATTGATACATAACATACATGTACACGTACCAATTCGACATAAACGAAATTTCAAGATATTTCAGCAAATCATGTAATGAAGAAATTCTACTTGTCCCCTTAAACTAAAGTCTTCGAGAAAATTTTCCATAACTTCTGGATTCCGCTTTCTAGCGAAGCGAAGTGAAGTCATAGGGAAGGATTCGATTCGTTAAGCAGGAAAAACTCCTAACACGTAGATTATTTTCCCTTGAAGATCCGGTGCCACTTTCACTCCAATCCTAGCAAAGAGACCAGACTCAAAGGCGCAGGCGCACGAGTGGCTTGCTTTGCCTTAAAAAATCTTCCATCGATCAGGCCTTGGGTCATTTATGCATTTTCTTTTTTATTCTGATTTTTGTTTTCGTATCATGGATCTTGGTTCGCCAATCGCTTTGCCTCTTGGTACGGCTTCAGAATGAATCCACTCAAGTCGAAAGCCTTTGCTAGCTGAAATCACCTTTCGCCGGTCGCTTTTGATATTACACCAAACTTTGACTTCACTTCTAAAGATGTAATTGAGAGAAAAGAGCCAGGCAAATGTTTTAAAAAATTGCATCCCTTCTCTCTGGTATTGTATTTAAAAAAAAAACTAATTCACAATTACTAATATAAATTTGTAATATATTTTTTTAAAAAAGCAAATTTTCACTTTAATGTTACAAATCCTCTAAATTGTTGTTTTTATGAAAATTAACCACAGTTTATTCATTTAATAAAAAATAAAATTAAGTAAATTAAGAAAATTAAGAATAAACTTACATAAATTACTAAAAATGTTTTATAATTATTATCTAATCCATCGAAGTCACTATATATATTATTTGGAGAATGAGTGAAACTATATATATATATATATATATATAAAGCTATTTGAGTATATATATATATTGGTTCCAATGCATCCACTTATTTAAAGTGAAGACGTGAGACTCATTTTTAGCCACAAGATTTGGTACATCATGTGTGGCCAAGATTTACTCATTTCTTTTTATTATTTTAATTATTTAAATATTATTTTGACCCGTTGACTCCGGCGTTGACCGTTGACTTCCGGCGAAATCCGTTGACTTTCGGCGTTGACCGTTGACAACACCTTCCAACTACGTTAGTTCTCTGTAGTTGCTAGGTTAGTTCTATGTAGTTGCTAGGTTAGTTGTTTGTAGTTGCTAGGTTAGTTGTCTGTAGTTGCTAGATTAGTTCTCTGTAGTTGCTAGGTTAGTTCTCTCTAGTTGCTAGGTTAGTTCTCTGTAGTTGTTAAGTTAGTTCTCTGTAGTTGCTAAGTTAGTTCTATGTAGTTGGTAGGTTAGTTCTCTGTAGTTGCTAGGTTAGTTGTCTGTAGTTTTTAGGTTAGTTCTCTGTAGTTGCTAAGTTAGTAGTTGTTAGGTTAGTTCTCTGTAGTTGCTAAGTTAGCTCTTTGTAGTTGCTAGGTTAGTTCTCTATAGTTGCTAGATTAGTTCTCTGTAATTGCTAAGTTAGTAGTTGCTAGGTTAGTTCTCTATAGTTGCTAGGTTAGTTGTCTGTAGTTGCAATGAGTTGTTCGCATTTTAAGAGCTGAACGCATTTTAAGAGTTGGTCGCATTTGATCCGGCCCTTATATATGTATATGTTACATCTTATGAAATAAAAAGTGATTAATATTGATTTATTAATTATTTTATTATTTATTCAATTTTTAAATTTATTTAAACGGGTAGAGTTATAAATAATATATGTGTTACACATATAGCTATATCTATCAATAGCGTGACATAATTTCTTTGCCTATAATATTATAGATACTTTTAAAATATTGTTTAGACAACTATTTACATATTCTACCTATATATACACATAGATATTCCCATATAATGTAGTTTAGAAAAATTTAAGGTGACTTCACATCTTTCAAGGATAATATAAATAAATTTAGATACTTTGGCATATGTTATATAACATTTTAGCTGCTTTTAATATTTTAAACATACATTTTTTATGTTCTCGTATATAAAATAATTTTATAATGTTTACAATAAACTGTTGTATGGTGACTGATATAGGATATTATATACTAGACCAGTTTTAATGGATAAAAAGGAAATATATTGAAGAATAAGCCTATACATGACTAGGACACGTAGCATGATACTATTGGACAGGCCCAACTTGGGCCATAATGTACAATTCCACTATAAAAGGGGCTAAGGTATCCCATTCTCTCACTCTCTCTACATTCATAATTATACTCTTGAGATTTGGAGTGATACTGACTTGAGGGAGGCCCGACGCGGGATCCCTCCCGGCGTTGAGTTCTTGCAGGTACGGAGGTCGTCTGAGTTGAAGGAGTCCGAGTAAAATCTTATTCACTTCAATAACCATGTTACCCCTCATCTTTATTTTATGATTATTATTTAATATTATTTATCCATATCTTTAATTTATAATTATTACTTAATCGTGTTTTTTCTTATCTTTAATTTAATATCAGTTAATATTCAATATTATTATTATTAAATTAATGCTAAACCCCCTGAGTGCATTACTTATATGTGTATATTGATGATATTTAGGCTTATTTGACTATCAGTCAAGAGTAAATATTAGATAGATAATTATATTAGTGGATAGTTGATATTGAATTGTAATAGTAAACCAAAAGAACCTTGCATTTAGATAGATAATTATAGTTGATATTGAATTTAACAGTAAACCAAAAGAACCTTGCATTAAAAACAAATTCGTATAATTATCTTAGAAATGCATTACTTATTTTATGAAATCTCACTAATAAAAAATTCTCTAAAAATTGTTTTTATTTTTTGTTCAACATTTTACATGCAAAAAACTAATCGAATTGTATGGTTGGCTCATATGTACATGGAGATAATTCAGAAGTTTGGTTGCCTCTTCATATTACAAGCGTGTTCACGTCCCCATCACATATTTAATTTTTATTTTTAATTTTTTTTATTGTTTTAATAATTATCTTCTAAAAATAGCACAGTGGCTTTTACAACAAACACCTACGTGTTGTTTAATGTGATCACACATTTTTTTTAAGTCTACGTGTGCTACACATAGACCAACACTTTATACAATTTTGGATAATTATCATTAGTTTTGTTATTCTTTATATAAAACTAAGAAGACATTTTTAATATAGAATTTAGTTAAAAAACTATAAACTTTACGCAACACATACTTATATTAATTTTTTATTATTACATTTTTCCTATAAATGAGTTCATGATACAATCATACCGTTCAACTATATTAGAGCATCTCCAATGTTAAAGCTTTGAAAGACAATACTTTTTAACACATATCAATCAATGATTGTAATGTCAATACATGTAGGAATAATGTTAAAAGAGTAGAAATTTGAATCAAACTAGTATCTCCAATGCATCAATTTCATAAGAAGTTATTTGTATAGGTGGACCAATTAAAACAATCATTAATACAAGAACAATAAAAAATTAAATCAAATATGAAGTGAATTGATTAGTCATCATGTTTAACATGGTGTTAGATATTAGAAAGTGTGTTCAACATTGTTAACATTAAATGCTATCCACCTCATCATGAAAGACATTCATGACTAGATGCATTGGAGAATAAATTTGTAACACACTTTCAAAAGTTGATGATATAGATGAATTTTTTTAATGTCAAAAACCACATTGGAGATGCTCTTATAATAATACAGTTCATTTACTAGAACTATCTAATATCATATACAATTTCAAAACTATTTATATTATTTTCCTTCATAGCCAAATTAAATTTAGACCGAAATTTATGCAATTTCAAAACCATTTTTAGAATTTTACTACAAATTCTCAAATTACTGTTAATATAATTCAAACCATAGTGTGTGATCATAACTAATACCAGCTGCAGATTTGTAAAATAAAAATAATGAAACACCTTGGCTGAAAAATGACATTACATATTTACTAAATCCCTAAGATGTTTGATAAAAATTTATTCAAAAAAATTCAATCATTTTTAACTCAATTTTAACTCAATCGCACTATTATCAATATTATCAATATAATTAAATTATATAAATCAATCATTCTTACACACCACTATCAACTTTAATTCACTATTCATTCATTCACATAATTTTAACTAACTATCACTTCAAATCATCTTTCTCATACTTTTACATCGAGTTAACTTTAATTATTTTATTTTAAATATTATTTTAATATACTCACTAAAACTAACCATACGACAGTTTTTAAAGTTAACCAAACTAAACCAAAAAATCCAAACAAATCCAAATCTTTTTATATCCAAGCATCCCCTAAATATCATTAAGGTGCATAAATTTTAATATCAACTTGATATTATCAATTAATATATGTAAAAAAACTTTTATTATTTTATTTTATTGTTTTAAAAAGAAGAGAGAGAAGATTTATGCCGCCCACCAAGAATTCAGTACCCTTCTTAAACCCCTGTTAGTGGTGCCCCGACCAAATATGCCTTCTTCCTCATTTTACTCTCTCTCTACTACCTTTCTTCAAAGATCTCAATACGCCTCGTAAGCTAAATCTGGGCAAAGGGTTTCCCTTTCTTTTTGATCTTGAGCTTTTCTAGTAGTTTTTTGTATCAAAAAATCCAAACTTTATTGCATTTCTGTTGAAATCTTGGGTCACAAGCCATGAAGATTCATTGTAACGTGTGTGAGTCGGCCGAGGCCGGTGTCCTCTGCTGTGCTGACGAGGCGGCGCTGTGCTGGGCCTGCGATCGGAGGGTTCACGCCGCCAATAAGCTCGCCATTAAGCACCAAAGGGTCCCTTTGTCTGACTCGTCTACGCCGAAACCCAAGTGTGATATCTGCCAGGTTGATTTTTTTGTTTTTGCCTCTTTGATCTTATCAAGATCCTTTTTTTTTTTTTTT